CTGAACGCGAATCCCTAAATCCTAAAAGAGCAAATCGCTCAATCCAAACCAAAATCACTCCCAAAGGGTCCATGTAGGTATATGGGATATACTTGGGCCTTAAAGTAGGTATATGGGAACCCCTTTGGGACCTAAGTATATACCATATACCTACATGGACCCTTTGGGATAGGGTTATATAGGGTTTAGGGTTTAGGGCTTAGGGACCTCTAAACCTAAACCTGTGCGCAGATGTAATAAGTTTAGGTAGACATCATACCTTGAGGGTCCAAATTCCCAAAGTTTGGGCTTTAGGGTTATAGAGCTTAAGGCTTCAGGGCTTGTGGGTTTAGGGTCTAGGGCTGCCCAAAGTTTAGGCTTTAGGTATCCCAACGCCCTTCACATTGTAGCGCATTGGGATTTCAACATGTGATCTATAGTCTAAACCCCTAGTATCCCCCCTTAATAGCTCCCCTACATATTCCCCTATATAACACCCTTTAAGGAATGTAGGTTATGGCTCATGTGGGTGGGCAAATTACCTTCAGATTGGGATGTGGTTTAAGCTGCGGGATGAGTACGTGGCTTAGGGTTTGGGATGTATTACCTAAACCCCAAAAGTATGTAAAATAATGGCCCTAAACCCACAATAATAGCCTTAAAGGCCATTATTTCACATACTTGGGGGGTCCAGGTATTGCTTAATCAACTTGTGAACTTCTGGGAAGTAATGGGGAGGATTCGGAGGCAGGTATTAGGAACAACTGTTAGGTTTGTCGACCACCTTGAAGCCCACACCCTAAACCATAAAACCTGAACCCTGACTCCTAAACCTTGAAGCCTGAACCGCGTATAGGACCAAATGAAGGAACTCCTTAGCCCTCAGGGTTTAGGCTTCAGGGTTTAAAGGTTTAAGGGTGCAGGGTGCCAATGCTAGATTTGGACACTCCTGGCTTAGGGTTTGTTTACTGGTTGCTGGTAGGGTATAATTAAAGGAATATTATACCCCAACTACCTATCTCACCCCTATACATGATCTTCCCATATTCCCCACGAGACCTCCTAGGGGTTTAGGGTTTGGGACTTGTGTCCAGAGTGGATGTCCAAAAGGGTTGAAGAACTCCGGTCCAAAATACCATAATCTACATTGCTTGGTAACCCTAATCTTCATGAACCTTTAACCTGTAAAAGCAAACCAGAATACAGTCGTTTTGGCCTATGCCATTATCTAGTTTTGTGCTTTTATGCTTTGTTGTGGACCTTTGGACCGCGTAAAGGGTTCCAGCCCCAACAGATTATGCTATGACATGTTACCACGAATACGCTACGGTGGATACTAAACACCCTGCACGACTCCACACGCCTTCTATCTTGGGCTCGTGGTACTATAGTATCCCAAGGTCATGCAAGACTTTGAGTAGCAGCAGTATGACATGGACCCATGACGTCACAAAGCTTTGCACTTTCAGCACGCCAGCCACAGCCATTATTCCAATATCATTAACAGACAACCACATGGAAAAGACGATGGACCGTGACATGGAGACTGGGGTTACACACGGGAATGTAAAGATTTCATTATACAGGTTGCTATTTGCGAGATATTTCAGGGACTATCGTAAACTACCAAAAGGGAGCCCTACCCAAAGGGTCCATGTAAGTATATAGTATATACTTAGGGCCCAAAAAGGTTCCCATATACCTACTTTAAGGCACAAGTATNNGTATATCCCATTTACCTACATGGACTCTTTGGGAAAGGGACCCCTATGTCCACCCTGAATACGGGTCCCTTGGTTAAGGTGATGTTAGTAGTATCTCACATCATGACTTGAGAGCCTCTCGATATTTGGGGGGCTCTTGCCCTAAGGGTCTAAGGACC